TGTCAACACCCAAATAAAATTTTAATAACAGTAAGAATGGCATCCTATTTCTCAGTTTCACAATATTCACTTAAGAGCTAATTTGTCAATTTGCTTTTCCCTTAACCAAACTCAAAACTACCATATATAACTTTAAAAAACATTAACTGCTTTTACTTATTGAACAAACACAGCCAAATAGAAAAATGTCTTTAAGAAAACAGGCCCCATGCTGATATACTCAGGGTAATGCTAATAAAGAACAAGCTTCAGAGTAAGCTCTGCTAATTTCCTCTGACATTAACTTCATAATCCAGAGTCAAAAGCATCCAGGATTTCCATTGTCAGCTGACTGAGCCCACCAGGTCATGAGCAAGATCTAGTAGGTCTGTATTTCATAAAGGTGTGGGGCCACTCTGTTGAAGAATCTAGTCAGTTTCATGTGACTCTCCTACCTGGCTATCTGGCTATTTTTCCAGTTGCTCCCACATGTTAGATAAATCCTCAGGAGGAATGAACACTCCCAACCTCATGCCTTTCCAGTCACCTGTCTGATGGTGTTTCTGAGGATGGGGGGAGGGGTCCTCTGAATAAGAATCCACACCAATCCGTTTGAGAAACTTCCCAGTCTGTCCATGGCACAAAGGTTCTAGTAAACAAAAATTCTGCTCTGGGCCTCCTGCAGTAAAGATAGCCTTCATATTAAAGTGAAGAAACTTTTGTCCACTAACATCATCATATCGGAATTTAATTACAACAGGAATTAGAATTATTTTTATTATAGAGTTGTTTACTTTTCAAAGGAATGATTCTTGATGGGTTTTGCAACAAATTACATCTTTCAGAAAGAGTTGTTCACCCTCATTATGCTTTTTTAACTGTGTCATATTATGTGAATAGGGTAGCACACCCACTTTTTAAAAATCTTTAAGTCACAGCCCAGGTGCTTCAAAGCTGCTTCGGGCATGGCACAAATGAGGGCAATGCCCCTGGTTCCTCCTCAACCCTAGATGACTTCCTGCAGGGACATCTCCTGCCCAGCCAAAGACTACTCTCTTCTACCAACCTCCTCAGAAGACAGATGAAAAGCAGGACTGATCACAGCTCAGCAAACTCAAAAGTGTGATAGGTACAAGAGCTTGACACAAATCTTAGTCGTCCCCTTCAATAAAATCAATACCCAAACACCAACCAAAACTTGGTTCTAAAACATAAAGCAAAACCAGGGCTGTTAGCTGGCTTTGAAAACTAGAATAGAAAAAATGACTTAGACAATTCAGAGGGCCTCACCATTAATTGTTATTGAAATGCCCCCCACCAGCTTTTTAAGATATTTAAGCTTATATCTCTAAATGTAGAACTTTTAGGGAAAGTAGTTTCTCTCTGAATTCTAAATCATTATCAGGGTGTAATAAATGTACCTAAATGCTCATGACAATAAATGTTTATTAAATCAGAAATCACAAATGAATTCACAACCTTTTGCTATATATGTTACATAATGATATTAAATCACTTGTCTAATTATGCCATTAAAGTTCTTTTTTGCTCCATGATTTGCACACGCAGTTCTCTCAGGTATCCAGTTCGTAAAATGCCCGGCACAACTGGAACATCCAGGGAAATGGTAGTGGGCACGATGAAAGGTCAAGGGGCTCGTCTTCAAATAGCTTGAGCAAAACGAATGGCCTTAAGTAAAAAAGTGTCTCTATGCTTTGCTATAATAAGATTTAAACACGGGATTCCAAGAATTCCACCTGTTTCCAATTAGATAGCAGAATTGCTTGAGTGTTTAAACTACATTCACTTGCTACTTATACAAAACAATTCTTCCGGGTTTTTTGAACATTTTAAGTATGTTAAAATAAGATTAAGGGTCTAGTTTAAACAATCAGAGGCAGGGGAATTTCAGTTGAAACCAAAACTATCTCTCTGCAGCCATAATGCAGAGCTTCAGACAAAACAACAGGGCAAGATATATGAATGTCTATCTTTGACAATTGTAAAAATCAGATCTTTCATAAGGAAAACAATAATATTTTTAAAGTTATACATTAAATAATTTAAAATAGATTTTAAAATAATCTCTAAAATTATGTATGATCCTATATGTTAGAATAACTTCTATAAAAACTTTTAGGTAACATTTGTGTTACAGTCCATTAGATATACTTATCTTTTAAACATGTGAAATTTACATGAAATCAAACCTGTGAACTATATAATAGAAGCACAAGTAGGAATTTGGCCTAGCTCTGTAGGATTTTTCACACAATGAATTCCTTTTTTAAAAAGGACAAGTTTTCCTCTAACAAATTTGTTCTTCATTTCACTGATGTTCCTTGGCCTTTATAAATGAGCTGAAATGAATATGGTTTTTTCTACTTTGAGCCTGTTTTCTCTAAGACCTGTTTTCTCTCCTGTGAGCACAGCCTTAAGAGGAGTTTTGACTCCTGACTGTTTCAGGTAGACCAGGAAAGGGGGAGGGGGGAGGTGTCATGGGAGCATAGACTATTGTTTCTACACAGCTCCCACATAAACCCTGGTGGGTTTGTTTTAATTGTACACAACAGAGGGGAGGACTTTTTCAACAGCCATTAAAGGTCTTGAGCTCAATCAGCTCACCAGACAGCATTTTAAGGTTAGCTCAGTGGATCAGGAGAGAATAATTCCTGAGGGAATTAGCAATCTGTCCCCTTTCCCTTTCCAACTTTCTCATGTAGGAGATTGGTAAAATTGGGGAAGCAGGTGAAGGGGGGTCTCTGTGGACCAAAACAGCATCAGGAGTTGTTGCATAACTTCATCCCTTCACTGACTTGCACAAAAACAAACAAAAACAAAACACACCATACACAATTTCACAGAAAAAAAATACTTTAATCAACCCTTCCCACACCCAGTCTCAAAGACGCTGATATGAAAAGACAGCAGCAGTGTAGAAACCCTTGATTTGTTTACCCATTAGTTCATAAAGGGTACTCAATGGGGTACATATATCAGTCAAAATAATATACTTCTTATGGGAACAGTCCTAAATGATGGGTAACAAACACACTTCCTTAACAGGAAAAATAAAAGCAACCAGTAAAATGGACTTATAGCAAAACTGAAATTGCTTTCTTGTTTTGAAAAAGAAAAAAAATGTTTAAAGTTTGCTTTTATAGAAGAGGCTCCTTAAAGGAGAAACACTAGTCACCATATAGGAATAATGCCTCAAAGGAAAGCAAGTCACTGTCAGGCTCCATCCCAAAAGTTATACTAACATACAGAGTTACATGAGCTTGTTTTAGAAAGCGTCCTCTTTTCAAACGTGTATTTAAAAGGCAAATTTATACAATGGTGTTTTTCTTATTTAAAAAAAAAAAAAAAGCCTGGTTTTTACAAGTGTGGGATAGGATAAAAACTTGTCCAACTAGTCTTAGCAACGCCAGAGCACTGACTTCCATACCACAAGCCTTAGGGACTAAAAAGGAAACGAAATAAAGTTCAATCTTCAGAAACTCTCTTCCCCAGACTCGGCACTCACTCCGGCACTCACTCCGAGTCCCAAGTCAGCTTCAAGCACTCACTCCGAGTCCCAAGTCAGCTTCAAGCACTCACTCCGAGTCCCAAGGCAGCTTCAAGACCAACCAAGCAGAGGGAAAAGAGCACAGCCCTGGCGCACTGTTTGTGGGAGAGGTGCACAACTGCCTTATCTTGCAGGGACCCACTTAAGTCTCTAACCTGGATCTGGATCTAGTTGAGCCCAGCCTCCTCACCCTCAGATATCAATGCCACAACCCTCACTGGGCTCTGCAGGCAACCTGATCTCAATGGAAAGGGTTCTGGAAAGATGAGAAGAATCTGAAGCTAATGAATTCTCTCTTCTCAAACTGCAGTCTCATTGGGTCACTTACTTTCTGTGGGAATAGAGATGACGCTAAACTAGATATCAACTCAAAAGGCCTCTTCAGGGCCCAGAGAAAGAACCAGTTTGGCCTTATACTTTGAACTTTGGCAGTCTATAGTCAGTCAACTGAAGTTTTTCAAACATGCGATGAAGCAGCAATAGGAAATCATCTAAGGCCAAATCACATCTACCATCAAAAGCCAACTGGTGCTTAGGAAAGAGAATGATGCTTTTTAAAATTCAAGATCAATATCTAATGGCTCATTCACATAAACTGACAGGGAAACTTTCGATCGAATCCTCGAGTTACACAGTTAAATGTCCTCATGATATCCTGAACAAATAGCTAATCACTGGGAGAGAGGGGAGGAGGACACTGTCAAAGAGTTCATAAGATCTAATAACGCTCTAGAAATCAAATGCATTTCCCAGGCAGTTTAGGATGCTTCAAAAACGATGTCACATTCAGGAAGACAAGAAAAAAAGAAAATTAAGGCGTGTCTCTTAAAACTCCACAACGGGTTTTACAATAAGCACAGGAATTAAATTATGGTAAAAGGGAGCTATTTTTACTAAAACAGGGTAGACCAATTTATCAAAATGCCATTTGGCTGTGTTCATTACATTCAGGAATCTAATTTACACAATAGACACTTTGGAGTAATCTATTTTAGTCAATAAATACTCAAACTCCTTCAAGTTTTAATCTTATCGGAAATACATATTTCACATAGTCCTCTTCCTAGTTAAGCGAGAAATTTGAAGAAATTTCATAACAACGATGAGTCTGCGTTATCAAGTTCTCAAGTAGGCAAGGGCAGAAAACAAGCATATACAATTAAAGTTGTCAGAATCCATTTATGTATGTTTTAATCCAATCCGCTTCGTTTCATATAAGCCTGCATCTGGATTTCATTTGCTTTCCTCCTAAAAGTATTGTAGGTCACAATCACCAGTCCTCCAGGTTAGGAAAGTTCGACCAAGTTTACCTTCCTGCACACCTTAGTGTTGGGAGCAGTAGCCGGCCCCCAGGGACGCTGAGGGACCCCCGGAGCGCCAGGACACCCTGGGCCCCTTTAAGCCGAAGGCTGTCCCCAGCGCTCACGGAGCTTCTGGCCCACATGCCGCTCACCTTCAACTTGGCTCCCGCTACGCACAACATCCACCTGGCTGAGTCCCGAGGTTGTCCAGGCGCCGCGAACGCGGAGCTGGCAGATTCCCGGCGGACCCCGAGGGCGCGCCGCTCCTCTAGGTGGAAAGTGGATGGCAAGAACGCGCCCCCTGGGCACCGCGGCAGCTTTGGCGCCGGCTTGGGAGCCCCGGCACGATCGCCGCCCGGCGCCCGGGGCTCGGCGAGCAGACCACGGCATGGGACGCCACAGTTCGGTGGGTCCCCCGGTGCTTTGCTTTCCAGAACCCAACTAGAGAAGGCATTTCGGAGCCGACTCGCTGCGAGTTCCATCGCACCCGCGGACCCTGCTAGGAGTGCAGGGCCCGAGAGGAGAGGACCAAAGGGGCGTGGGAGGGTTACTAGGGGCCGCGGGAAACCTTGGGCGCCGGGCGGCCCCGCCGGGACAGACGGCGGGGAGGCGGCGCCCCCGGTCCGGGCAGACGGCGCGCCGGGACTCAGCGCCGGGCCTGCGCTTGGAGAAAGTTGCAGCCCCGCGCCCGCACAAGCGACCGCCGAGCGCTCCCGGGCGCCCTGACACCTGGGCTCCGCGCGCCGGGCGACCCCGCCACCCCTCGCAAGTTTCCCCAAAGCGCCCTTACCCCGGTCCCTGGGCGCGGAGGAGCCGACCCGCGCCACTTGTATAGGCATACAAAAGAGCGGGGCCGCTGCGGGGTCTGCGGGTGGCCCCCAGGCGCCCGCCCGGACGTAAACAAACCCCGGGGTCTGCGCTAGGAGCCCAAAGCCCAGTGCGGGAACGGCGGCGCGGCCCCGCCCGCTGACAGCTGGGGGCAGTGGCCGGAGCCTGGGCCGGCCGGGGAGCGCGGACGCCCGCCCGGCCACCCGCCCGCCTGGCCGGAGCCGGGCCGCGCCGCCGCCGCTGCCGCCGCCGGTGGCCGCTCTGACCCTCCCCCGAGCCGGCGGCACCACAGCGCCACCAGCCCCAGCTCCGCCGCGCCGGCGGCAGTGGCGGCGGCGGCTCCTCCTGGAGAGGCAGGCGCTTCACCCCCCACAGCAACTCCCCACAAACTTTCCCCAGGAATACGGCGGACCGGGGGCGCGGGGCGCGCGGCCAGGCGCCGCCGACGGGCCGCAGCCCCCTCCCGGCGCAGCGCCGCCGCCGCTGCCGCCCGCAGCCCGCTCGCGCGCGCACCCCGCGGACCGCCGGGGCCGCCCCCTCCCCGGTCCCGCGGCGGCGGCAGTGGCGGCGGCGCAGGCCGGGGGGGCGCCCGGGGTGGGGGCCGACCCCGGGGGCAGCGGTGGCGGCGGCGGCTCCCGGCGCCATCTTGGGCTGATCGATGAATTGAACAAAGAGGATCAATTTCTGATCAAGCGAGTTATCAATGGGGGCCGGGGAGAGAGAGGGACTTGTCCCCGACTCGGCCCGGCTTTCCTCGGCACCCCCCTCCTCCCCGCCGCCGCGGCCCCCCAGCGACCCGGCAGCCCGGGGCCCCGGGGGAGGCCGCGACCGCCCGCAGCCCCCACCCCCGGGCAAGAGGCCGAGCGCGGAGAAGCCTGACCTGCAGCTGCTGTAAATCAAAGCGCTTCCAATATTGAAACATCGATCCCACATTGGCCGCCATCTTGAGACATATTGAGACGGAGTGAGAGGCTGATAGAGAGGGGGCTGGAGTTCAGGAGCCGCCAGGAGGCAGCAGGCGGGCGGCGCCAAAACCCGGCCTGGAGCCGGCCGCCGCCGCCTCCACCGAGGACGCGGACTCCTCCTCACGGCGCCGCCGCAGCCATGGCGAGCCCGAGCCGGAGCCGGAGTCGGAGCCCGAGGGCGCGGCGGCCGCCGCCGGGCCTGGCGCGCGCGGCCCCTGCCCCCTCCCCTCGCGCAGGGCACCCGGCTCGCGACCCCCGCCCATCCCGGGCCCCCAGCCCCAGCGGGCGTGGCCGCCGGCCCGGCCCCGAGGGGGCGCTGGAGGGCAGCGGGAGGGGCGGCCCGGGCCCCCGATGGAGGCCCCGGGCCCGCTCACCTGGGGCGTGTGTTGGGCCCCCGGGGGTCGCGGTCGCTGGCCGAACGCCGCCCCTTCAGTGACTTGGGTTAGGGACTGCGGCCGCGTCAGGGCGGGCGCGGAAACAGCGCCTCTTTCGCTGTTGCGCCGAGCGCGCCGAGCTGCGGCGACCACCTGCCCGAGCCCCCACTCAGCGCTGCCGGGGTCCACGGAAGGTGGCGTTTGCGGGGCGCGCTGGCCGCACACCCACCCCCTACACCCCAGCCGGACTCAGAGACAGAGCCCGCCAGGAACAGCGTTTCATGATGGGGGGAGTAGAGTTGAGGGAAACCACCCCTGACCATGTAGACGCACAAATTAATGCCCCGCACTGTGGCAGCGCGGTCCCCGCGCCGCACAGCACCGCAGAGCAAGCCGGGTGGCCAGCGGTCCGAGCGGCCCCTATTCGCCCGAGTCGCGCCTGCTTAGGCCACGACAGGAAAAGTCTTGCAGCACAGCTCTATTCCCCCCGTACCGCTCCAGCGGAACAGCGCTAGAAACTTCCTGTAGTTCAGATACCTCGGTTTTCACTAGTTTGGGTACAGAAACTTGGAAAGTGTGGGAACACTTATGACAGAAAGCATGGTCCTTAGTTTACAGAAATGCTAAAACTTAAACCAAAAAACCAATTCTCTTGATTTTTTCTTCTTCGCAGAAACCTGGCAAAAGCACACGTTTTATGATCGTCATCTTTAATTGATTATATACACGTGTGAGTTTTAAAAGTTTCCAGTAGGAATGTGTACTTTTACTCTCCCGCACTTCATTTAATGTGTAATTAGTTAAAACAAATCCCCAAACTCCTTAATCTTGAAATTTATATGTAAATAAAATCTGTGTGCAATACAAAATAAAACATGTAAGTGAGATATAATTGCTGTTCAACTGAGTTCGAAGGTTTGGCGCTGATCATTGGAGTGAATTAAGCATTTTTGAATGAAGGGACTGGAAATGAAAGTGCCCAGGATTTAGGAGCTTCAGTTGAGTCAACGCGCGGTTCCTGAGGTCTGGAGCGGCGTTCTCTCGGGGTCCCCATCGCATTTTTGGCCAGTAGAAGGGGCAACAATCAGGTGGGTGAGAGCGCGTGGGCGCGGGGGTTAGGGGAACGTTGAGAGCCTCGGCCCCAGATGCCGTGACGCCGCGCCATGCAGGACCCTCCCGACTTCGGACGCCGAGGGCCGCCTGGGTGGATTGCGCCAGACCCCGGGAGCTGTCGGCCCGCGGCCGCGCTGGAGCTCCGACAGCGCCGCCCGGTAGAGGGCAGCGGCACCCTGACACTAACGTCCTCTGGTCCCCGCGCACGTGCCCACCGGCGCGCCGCGCGCCTGGCCACGCCCTGTCCGAGAGCCAGGCCTCTGGCGGGAAATGGCATTGCCATCTCTGTCGATTCCTGTCTCGACGAAATGCCTCCTCTAACGATTCCTCCTCTATCCTTCACCGGCGGGTACGGATGCCCTCCCCTCCTGTTTGTGCCCTAAAGATGGCTAGACAAATAAAATGTGCAGAAACTTAAAAAAAATATCCTCCCTGGGGAAGGCTCAAGGAAGGATCAGGGAAATGGTTTGGATTTGGTGCAGATGTTCTCAATCTAATTATCGTGTCAATCCCTTGGGTTTGAACCAAAAAATGTGAAATATATATGACCTGTGTAATACTCCAGAAGTACATCTGGTTGGAATTCAGGGTTCCGAATTATCCACTGCAATATTTTAGAAATAAATTTGATGAGTATTAAATACCCTTGTTACATTTCTGGTTATATTTACATTTTTTACACGCTAACTTGACTTAGAAAAACATTACATTGAATGTCCCAGAGGTTAAACTCTGTTTAAATAAAATTTAATTTCTCTACTAAAGTTTTGAGTTATGCAAGACTTCTTGCTCTCTACTGGGGGGGAGGGGGGGCACAGTTTAGAGTAACTTTGCCAGCACCACAGAATGTTACCACTTTAAAGGCATCAAGATAAACCACTGACCAAAAATTATCTTAACTGAATGAAATAATCAACAGGGACCTAAAAAACGTTTTAAAGTACATTTCATTTTTCTTGAGTATAGACAGAATAAGAACAAATTATATCTGTTTCTGGAGGCTATTTTCTTTCTTCTTTCTTTTTTTTTCCAGATTGTCTTTCAGTCTCACCATTGTAGAAGGTCAGGAGGACCCACTGCCATCCAAATATAGTGGATCTACAAAGCTGTATAAGGTATACAATATTCAGAAAATGGAAAGGTTTTAGGACCTAGATCACCATTAACACCCACAAAGACAATAGAATAATTGCTATAATCTCCCAGAACAAAGTGTGAGAAAGAAGCAGGTTAGCAAGATAATTGGCCCAGTACCAAGAAGCACCTTGACTCAAAATTGACGTTAGAATGAAGCACAAGAAAAACAATACAGAGGCATTCTTTTCTCTTTTTTATGTTCTGGCTCTCCCTTTAGGGATAGAAAACTCCCAGTTCCCAAGTATATGACTAACATCCTCAGCTTCCAAAAAAGTTGGAGAATATCTGGAGTTTTTAACCCCAATCCAATAATAATGAAAAAAAATCCCAAGTAATCTGATGGGGTTCCTGACACCTTTAAATGAAATACAATTTAGCACCAAATAAGTCAACTATGTAACTAATATACAAGTCCAGAATTCCTAAATTTCTTTTCTGACTCATTTTACTTTACCTAAGCAAAGTTTGGTGGCCATATTGAGATATGATAATACTAAAGAACATAACTTACAGAAAATTATAAGGCACTTTTAGAAGATCACACGTTCCTACCCTCCTAGCATTTTGTGGAGCCTCCTGTCTCCCAGCATCTACATATAGTTGATTAAATCCATTAAGGTGAAAATTGGAAAATTCTCTAAAATACCGTATGGGTTGATTATTACTAAATTGGTCCTCCTTTGGTAGCCCCAAGAAAGGAAAATACATTACCTTGTTTTCTAAAGATTCTAATTTAGTAATTATTCTGATACACTTAACCTAATTCCTTGAAGGAATTAACCATCAAGAATTTCTTCCAAACTGAAAAGTGTCTTACAATGTAGGACATCATAAAAAAAAATTTTTTTAAAGATTATTTTACTCTCTCACAAAAGAGTCATTATGTTCTGAGATCTTATTTATAATGGACTCATAAAACTAAATTTCACCTAGAAACTTTATCTCCTGAAAAAGTTGGAGAATAATCTGGAGTTTTTAGCCCCAATCCAAGAATAATGAAAAAAAAAATCAGAAATCTGAATCCTATGTAATATACTTAAAAAGAAAACTCAAAGAATCATTCTAAAACCTTAATTCACTTTCTGAATGTTTTCGCATTCAAACTAGACTAGTTTTGAATAGTTTTCAACAAGCAGTATTTCAGATAACCAG